AAAGTTACATTCCACGCGGGGAACAGTTAGTTTTAAATAAACTCAACTATAAAACTGTAATGCTATTGCTTTAGCGCCATTTTACTCTTAAATGAGCGGTGATCACTTCGAAATTTATAAAAAAATTACAAAATAGTGCGGTTATGGATAACTATCTGGACCGGAAGACGCAGCGTGGGAAGGCCTCCAGCAAGGTGGACCGACGATCTGGTCAAGATCGCTGGAAGGCATTGGATGCGAGCAGCGCAGGACCGATCGTCGTGGAGATCTTTGTATGAGGCCTATGTCCAGCAGTGGACGTCTTCCGGGCTGCGATGATGATGATGATGATGTTTTACGTTTATAACGCACACGTGTTTTATGAGCTGATTCATCAACATTACATAGTATAAAACAAAGTCGCTGTCGCTGTCTGTCCCTATGTATGCTTAAATCTAAAACTACGCAACGGATTTTGAAGTGGTTTATTTTAATAGATAGAGTGATTTAAGAGGAAGGTTTATATGTATAATACATGTATACCCGTACAAAGCCGGGGCGAGTAGCTAGTTATATATAAAAAACCAGTGAGATTAGATCCACTTTACGAGCCGAAAAAATAATAACAAAGTTAAAAAAGGTAAATAAAAAAATTAAATATTAAACATAAAATTAAAAATTAATATATATGACTAGCTGTACTCGCGACTTCGTCCGCGTGGAATTTTACTTTATTTTTCTAAAATAAAAGAATTTTAGAAAAATAAAAGTAGCCTCTGTTACTCCTTATTACATCAGCTACCTGCCAAAAAAAGTCCCGTCCAAATCGGTCCAGCCATTTCAGAGATTAACCGGAACAAACAGACAGACAGACAGACAAAAATTGTAAAAAATGTTATTTTGGTGTATGTACCGTATTTATATACATATGCATGTAGTAAAAAACGGTTATTTCAATATTACAAACAGACACTCCAATTTTATTTATAAGCATAGATATCTTAATCTTCCAGAACCATATTTCCACCACTTGCAATGCGATATCACAGGCACTGGTCTTCAAGAATGAAAACACATTAAAATCACGGTCGTCACAATTTATTGATGGTATTTTTTTATAGTACAGGGGACAAACGAGCATGCGGCTCACCTGATGGTAAATGATTACCGCCGGCCATGAGCACCCGCAACACCAGGGGAATTGCATGTTGCTCTTGGTGGATGCCATTGACGAAGATCACCTTCGTTCAGAATGCAAGTATATATTTATTATTCAATTGTTTTTATTATACATGATATCAATACATGTATACATAAACATGTACATCTACTCGTCACGACATCTGTTTCAACATACAATGAATACGACTTTATCGTGACGATATTGTTTTTAATTAGTACCTACTGTACTGTAAGTAAACATGTACCTTATAAAAGAAACTAATTAGAATACGAGTAAATATTGAAAATCGTAAAAACTGTAAGCCATATTTCCAAAAACATAATATTCTTACTTTGACCTGCATTTATATTCTAGAAATCAGTAAATTCTTCGGAAAATACGCCAACAACAAAACACACGAAGAAAGGTGTAAAAAATATAATTTACGGCACAGAAACAGGCTACTTCTTCCATCCTCCACGTTAGCACTACATTCAAGTGGTCCTCTGGTGTCATCCATAAATATGTATAACCACTTACCACTTTCTTTAAAAGAGGAAAAAAATGATAAAATATTTATAAGAAATCTCAAGACATTGTTGATTCAAAAATGTTATTATACAATTTTAATAATTAAATATATAGAATTTCAATACATTAATTATTACTAGTCGCAAATAAATCTATATTATTACTATATATTGATCATCTATAAATTCAGATCTTATAATAGGCTTTTTTACATAACGTTTTCGAATCAGAAATATTGAAATCCGCAGAAGAACCAGAGTAACCGACATATTTCCAAAAATATAATGCGACTTTGAAGTGGCAATGGGCAGTCGGAAAATAGCTCGTAACACAGAACACACGAAGGGTGCAAAAATATAATTTACCACAGAAACAGGCGACCACCACCGGAAGACGCACTACATTCGTAGGAAGGCCATCCATAAATATATATAACCGACGATCTGGTCAAGATCGCGGAAAAAAATTATAAAGCATTTATAAGGAATCGTCGTGGAGATCTTTTGATTCAAAAATGTCCAGCATACGTCTTAATAATTAAATATATATGATGATGATGAATTATTACTATTTTTATTATTATTATTCCTAACTTCCAAAACAAATTCTCATCTCCCCTCTTAAGGAGAGGAGATGGCAACTTACCCCTGGCAGAAGCACAGTCTGCCGGGGTTCAGGGCCCCAGGGATTATTATTATTATTAATATATAATACATAAAAAATAAAAGAAAATAACTCGTCCTCCTCTCTTCTATTCCGCTTGCTGCCCAACAGGGTCCATAATTAACCTACTTTGAAATGTACCTGTCTATCTATTTACTGTAAAATTATGGAATGCAATCTTAAATAAATATAAAAATAAATAAAACAAATATTGTGACACAATAATGGGAGTATGTTGTGACACAACAATGGGAGTATGTTGTGACACAACAATGTGAGTATGTTGTGACACAACAATGGGAGTATGTTGTGACACAACAATGGGAGTTGGTTGTGACACAACAGAGGGACACACTGTGACAGTCATTTTGTTGTTAACAATTATTGAGGTGTTGACGTAAATAGGCGATGGTTAACACTAGGGTTGCCAGATGGCTAGGAAATCCGGAATTGTCCTGGAATTTTGCGTCTTGTCCCGTGTCCAGTGATTAGACATTATTGTCCCAAAATCAATTTTTATTTTCAAATTCGAACGTGAATTAAGTTATAATGTTTTTATACATTTACTAGCTACTCGATCCGGATTCGCCCGGGTGTACCTGTATACATATAAACCTTCCTCTTGAATCACTCTATCTATTAAAAAAGCGCATCAAAATTCGTTGCGTAGTTTTAAAGATTTAAGTATACATAGGGACAGACAGCGACAACGACTTTATACTATGTAATAATAATGATTATCGCAATATTAGTGCATTTTTATACATTCTGACTGATTTTATTTCTATTATACATAGACGACCACGGTCGGTAGCAGTCTAGCACACCGCTTTACGTCCGATGGTTGCGGGTTCGATTCCTCGCACGGCACAAACATTTGTATTCATGGGTATGATTGTTTGTATCGGTCTGGGTATTTTCTATGTATAATATGTATGCATTTACGAAAACAAAATATCTATTTAGTTATATTTAGCTTTTCATTTAAATTCAAATTTTCATTTAAATTTAAATTTCTGAGAATAGAGCATATCACCATCACCACCAGCACCACCACCAGACCACCAGCATATCATCATCATTAGAATAATAAATACTTATATTAACGAAATCACGATGGTCACATCCTGAGGTCAAAACCATGTTTACTATATAGCTGTACCCGCAACTTCGTCCGAGTAGAAAATAACTTTATTTTCTAAAATAAATGTAGCCTAAATTTCTCTTTATTACATCAGCTACCTACCTGCCAATAAAAGTCCCGTTATGTTCGACATTATCATCATCATCATCGCAGCCCGGACGACGTCCATCGCTGGACATAGGCCTCATACAAAGATCTCCACGACGATCGGTCCTGCGCTGCTCGCATCCAATGCCTTCCAGCAATCTTGACCAGATCGTCGGTTCACCTCGCTGGAGGCCTTCCCACGCTGCGTCTTCCGGTCCGTAGTCGCCACTCGAGGAGTTTACTGCCCCAACGGCCATCTGTCCTACGAGCTATGTGCCCTGCCCATTGCCACTTCAGAGTCGCAATTCTTTGGGCTATCATTAGATTAACCGGAACAAACAAACAGACAGACAGACAAAATTTGTAAAAAATGTTATTTTGGTGTATATACCATAGCTATTTGGTGCATATGCATGTAGTAAAAAACGGTTGTATCAATATTACAAACAGACACTCCAATTTTATTTATATGTATAGATAAAAGACTACAAACATTGGTATTAACTACAACTATAACTAAAATAGGTGTAACACAGTTAGTTTTACAGATTTAATAGGAAGTTAACAATAATGCAATTAAAACTGTTGAACAGTTGAAATTCGGACGTTGCGACCTCGGTCATTCGGCGCGTGCAATTCATGCGTTTTAGCATTTTTCAACAAGGCCAGTCAGTGCACAACCTTATCAAAAACTGCTGAATATATCATTTACAAGAGATTGTTATTAGATATTTTATGTTTATACTAGCTTTTGTCCGCGGCTTCGCTCGCGTTAGGTTTTCCCGTTAGGGGTGGAATTTACCAAAATCCTCTCTTAGGGGATGCCTACGTCGTAAGTAGCTTTATGCATGCAAAGTCTCAGCCCGATCGGTTTATAATTAACAAAGTTTCATACAAACTTTTATTCCCTATTTTATCCCTTTGGGGGTAGAATTAATCAAAATCCTTTCTTAGCGGATGCCTACGTCATAACATCTACCTGCATGCCGAATTTCAGCCCGATCCGTCTAGTGGTTTGGGCTGTGCGTTGATAGATCACTACTTATATGATCAGATCAATATCAATTTGACTGCCCGGGCAGCATCTCAGTATAATATTGTTTTTGCATTCTACTTCATTTAGTAGCAGGATACAGTTTCTAATAAGTTTAGATCGGGTTTCGTACGAGTGTAGTGCTAGTAGAGCAGCATAACTGTCCGTATAAATGCATATGTTCTGATTGATGTAGTTAAGGTTTAGGATTACTTCCAGACATCTTATTAAGGCGTAGGTTTCAGCCTGAAAGATTGAGGCGTGTTTTCCTAAGCCTATATAGTTGCAGATTTTAGGTTTTACACATCCTACATCATCTATTATTTTGGATTCGTCTGTAAACCAAACCTTTTCACTTCGCTTCGTCTCTTCTTGTTACTTCATGAGATTAAAGGCGAGTATCAGTGCTGATTGTCTTCTAGAACGAAGTCTGCGGCCCTCTCCCCTACGGCGATGGCTGCGGCGGCGGTGTTCCCGCGCGGCGGGCGGGGCAGCACGCCCGCGTCGGCGGCGCGCAGCCGGCGCACGCCGCGCACGCGCAGCCGGCCGTCCACCACGCGGCCCAGCGCCGTCGTGCCCACCGAGTGGAACGTCGAGTACGTCATGTGCCGCGCGTAGCAGCCCCAGTACGACGACCAGTCCTCCTCTGCGCTTCGAGGACAGCCCTCCAGCTCCAGCTGCACCATTGACGCGCCGCGCGATTTGAACGCGGGCGTCTCTATCAAATGCTGGATGATCCGTATACCGCGCACCATCTGCTCTACATCACGGTTATCGGCCAAGTAGTTGAGAAAAATTGCAGGCGCTTGTAGAGGATCGACGCCAGCCAATCGTACCCTACCACTGGACTTTGGCTCTAATAACTCGCATGATACTAATAAAAAGGCATGATCTGCATTAATTTTACTTAGTTGTCTAGTGATAGCTCGGTTTAGTCCGGTTTTGTGTTGAAAAATCTTTGGCCCGAGTTGAATCAAACCTTTGTCTATATTAGCAAAAATGATCTGTGTTGTCGGTACTTCACAATCAGCACCATTGTTCATAAGTCTTCGTTCCTTAAAATCGTAGCATCGTGTGTTCACAAATGCAGTGATATCTGTCACACCGATAGAGCTGTGGGACTCGCCTCGTGTGAATAGTATATCAGCAAAAAAATTAAATACTGTACCGATGCTCTCAACGATCGTCTTTAAGAAATTTGAGTCTCGATCGACTTTGATAAATATAAGTGGTAACGCGTGATCAATCATATCATTACCTACAGATAGATCAACACGAAGTGGTATACCTAATTCGTTTAAATGTTCAGCCGGACCGATTCCAGATAACATGAGCAGCTGTGGGGTGACTAGAGCGCCAGCACTCAAGATAACTTCTTTCGTCGCGTACAGCCGTAGTTTAGTTTTGAACAGACCATGAACGACGGTGACTCCGCGCGCCACATTGTCATCGTCTATGATAACTCCAGTACACGTCGTGAACTTGGCCACTTTCAACTTCATTTTCACATCATCTCTTTCCAAGTAACCTCGTGCAGTGCTCATGCGTTGATTTTTATAAGTATAGCCGATGACTTGAGAGACTCCGATTTGCGAAATTGCATTTACATCAGCGTTGTAAGGAAAATTCAGATAGTTAAACCCATCGATTATCCTAGAACGCCACGAATTATCAGAGTTCCTGAAAAAACCAACTTTCATTGTTCCAGCTGTATTGTGATACGGTATTGAGGATGGAGGTAGCAGATTCAAATCAGTTAATCCCTCGTAACGTAAGAAATAAGGCTTCATATCGTTCCATGACCAATTTGAGAGGTGTAGACTATCAAAGTCATACGGGTTTCCACGGACGTACATCATGTAGTTGATACTAGTAGAGCCTCCGAGACATTTCCCGCGGCTGGCACGACACGACCTCTTCTGGGAGGAGAGGCACGACATGTTGTTAGAGATGGTCTCGTAATGATAATCCAAATTAGAACCCAATAGTGCCATAGATGCTCCGGGTACCTGTGGTGAAGAATTGTTTTAGTTACCCTCACTTGTTTTGTTTACAGTAACATATACATTTAGTATTTGATGCCTAATTCTTCTTCAGCGCATTAAGCGCGTGGGTACTTATGCTTTAAATAAAATTTTTGTTACACATTTAAGTTTAAAAATGAAATTGGGTATTAGGGTGAGCTTATCTACTATTACCTTATCTTAGCAACTAACGTAGGCTCTTAAATTGCCATCTTAGTCTTTAGGGAATGAGTGATATCGCAACGCATGTGTCTTTAGTGCTGTTCACGACGACGGTTATAATCAGCTGAATCTTCACCTTCAGCACCATTACATAAAGAAAGACGTACAGTTGTATATCCTGTAATATTACTGCCATATCTCCTCGAAACTTTTACTGTACTTAGTGGCAAAATTTCGATAAAAGAAGTTAACCATGCAAACAAACTTGTGCAATCTTACTTAATATCATTAAATCAGAAAGTTATTACAGATATGCAATATCTTTGCGATTGATGGTTGCAGCGTGACAATACCCTGGAGAAGAGGTCAGGATCACCACCCGCCTCCAGCAGCAACACGTCTGCTCCAGCGAGCGCCATCCGAGCAGCCGCAGCGGTACCAGCCGCGCCAGCTCCTACCACGATGTACTCGAACGTATCACCATCTGGGCAAACAATAGGTCGATAAATCTAAATATATATAAATCAAAGGTGACTGACAGACATAGTGATCTCTCAAAGCACAGCCCAAACCTGTGTGGGTGTGGTTCACCCCAAAATTCTTTTATCATTTTTTCGATAAAATATTTTATTTTTATATTTTATGATGTGACATAATACCCTAAATTTACACCCTTCCATCACCAACCCCTATTTTTAAATAGCGATTTTAATTTATATTGCAAAACAACGTTTGCCGGGACAGCTGGTATTCTACATATGTATGAATTTTACGTAAGTGTGATGCAGACGAAGTTGCGCGGGTAAACTATTAGGTTGTTCGGAAAGTAATTTCGATTTTTCCTAACTTGGGATTTAATTGTTTTTTTTTTTTGCAATAGTACGCAGATATTTGATCAATACAGAATATAGAATGAAATTATAAATAAGGACAGTATTTTAAGGTGTATAAAACAAAATAAAAACATTGTAATCGAATCTTCAGGGGCTTTGTTATAATACATTTTATGTTTCAAGAAAAAATTAATAACGTAAAACACAGTCACCTTTGAGTCTTACTGCATCCGGTAGAGAGTGAGTCGACCAATCACTGCCGGTTGCTCCAGTCCCACGGGTCAGTAACAAAATAATTATCCTATTAACAATATACTTTATTTATTTCATTGATATCCTTTCTTCATACATATTAACTGAAAAAGATAAGCTCAGAAGCGCGTTAACCACTTATTAAATTCATCTGTTAAATCATATTTACCGAGCAAAGTCTAATACTCACTAAACGATTACTTGAATGACGAGCGTGCATGGCAATATTCATGCACGGGATTTTCATTTAATGTTAGACATAGACACCTATATAAATAGAGAATGACAAGCGTGCATGGCAATAGTTGTTCATGCACGGGATTTTATTTAATGTTAGACATAGACACCTATATAAATAGACATTGTAAATAGACTGGCTTTAAAAAAAAAGCCATTCAATTGAGTTTCTTGCCAGTTCTTCTCAATTGGATCTATATATTGAACTGGACGGTAGGGAAAAAATTAAAATTATAATGTAAAACTTTGACGTTCATAAGCGGCTAAAATGTCCTACATGAATAAATGAATTTTGAATTTTGAATTTAATAGATAGATAAATATATGACATATTGTCATAAATAATGTAATAAACATTCAAGAAACTTATTGTAAATTTAGTAATGACATATTGTAATTTAAATATTGTAATGGGTGAAAACTGTGATTAGTACAACCTATGCTCTCAAAAAAATATAATTGACGTAGTGGAGTAACTTGAAACAGTCATTCTCGCTATAAAGTTCAAACTTGTGGCGGCGTGGTGGGCCGGGTCGATGTGCTCCCTCTAATATGGTTGAGTGCAATGATGGCTGGCTCTTCTGTCATACTCGTGAACGGGTGCTGACTGTGGGGACTGGTCTGTTTGGGTTGCGAACACTGATTAGACTCTTTGCTTTTGCTATATCATATGCTGGTGGTCACTGTATTCTCCCAAATTTGAAATTAAAAATGAATCTGTATTATTGTAAACATGTACAACATTTATTTGTAAAGAATACGAGCAGAGTTTCTTGTCAGTTCTTCTCATCTCGATATCATTCCGAACTGACGGTAGATTTGACATATCATAAGCGTCTGTAATAGACCTACATGAATAAAGATATTTCGATATTTTTTTAATTTTGAATACATAAATGCTTTATTCATCCATTGTAAACACACCATACATGGGACACAGAAAAAAATATATAAATAAAAAAAAATGGAGGTGTCTTTTTTTATAACACAAGGGACAAACGAGCATGCGGCTCACCTGATGGTAAGTGATTACCGCCGCCCATGAGCACCCGCAACAGCAGGGGAATTGCAAGTACGTTGTCGGCCTTTTAAAAAGGAATAAGCTCTTTACTTGAAGGTTTCAGTATCGTATCGGTTCGGAAATACCATATCAAGAGAGGCAACCACCTCAGTATAAAGCTACTGATAAATCTGCAGCGCTGATATTCCAGAGAATACCCCCCAGACAGACCCCAGAGGGTCCTATAATAAAATAAAAAATATAGAGCCCTGGATAGGCACAGTAGGTCACACAGAATAGCACTTGTTTCTTTAATATTGCAAATGAACTGAAATACCCTATGTATATAATCTAAATATATATATATATATATATATATACATATATACAGTCCCATTGTTAGGAATGTTTTGTAAACAAAAAAGTTAAAAAAACCTAAAGTAAAAGCTAAAAAACCTACTTATAAAAATAACACAGAATAAACGCGGAAAAGCAAGGATCGCCTTGAAATCTACGGGTCTTGTCGTTAAAGTAAGTAATCATCAAAAAGATGAACTCTATTCGTGAAGTTTCAGTTTTTATCTTAAATTTTCGTTCGCAATTCTTAACTCTCATCTGATGTGTTCTGCCAAAATTTAAGTCACTACTACAATGCACGAAAATAATAAATTTTATTTTTATTTATAACTCTTTATTGCACCTTTAAAAAATACAAAATCAAAAAATATTTATATATATATATATAACTCAAAGGTGACTGACATAGCGATCTATCAACGCACAGCCCAAACCACTGGACGGATCGGGCTGAAATTTGGCATGCAGGTAGATGTTATGACGTAGGCATCCGCTAAGAAAGGATTTTGATTAATTCTACCCCCAAGGGGTTGAAAGTTTGTATGAAACTGTCAATTTTAAACCGATCGGGCTGAGACTTTGCATACATAAAGCTACTATGACGTAGGCATCCCCTAAGAAAGGATTTTGATAAATTCCACCACTAACGGGACAAATTAACGCGAGCGAAGCCGCGGGCAAAAGCTAGTTCATAATATGTCGTATTAGGATCTTCCGCAGGTCCTCATGGACCGATGGGTTCGGGCCTCGAGCTTGTGCTCCTTGCCCAGGTATTCTACTGTGGTGAAACACCACAGCGTCGTTCGTTCACTGGCCGGCCGGAAGCCGGCTACTTTCCGGCAGCCGGCTGTGGGCATCATGTGGCGCGCCTGCCAGCTAAACGACGTCGCGTTACGTAGGTTAAAAAGGCGGTCTTATCGCTTAAGCCTTTGGGTAGAGGAACCCAAAGGTTGTCTGGAAGGGATCGCAAAAACAGAAGGTGGTGGATGGCACAAGATGTAACAAACAAACATAAATAGATAAATACGATATCTAATATAACACAATAAAATTATTTTTCCAAGTAACTAAGCTATAAATTTTAAGATTTAAATTCAAATTCAATAACATCACTTACTACCTATCTAAAAAAATGTACACAATTTGTCGCCCAATAAGACGTTTAAAATTTTTCATTTCTTATACGGTCAGTTGAGTCTAGAACCAAACAATAGCTACCAGTGAATTTTAAAACGGTTCCTTACTAATATTATCTATAAATGCGAAAGTAACTCTGTCTGTCTGTGTCTGTCTGTCTCGCTTTCACGCCGAAACCACTGAACCGATTTAAGTGAAATTTGGTACACAGATAGTCTAAAACCTGACAAAAGACATAGGCTTCCTTTTAATGCTCAAAAAGGGTTGCAAGGAGTTGAAAGTGGAGATGAAAGGTTATACGGAAATATCGGGTAAAGCTAGTCTAATGTAATGTAATAAAATTATTTTTCCAATAACTAAGCTATAACTTTTAAGATTTAAATTCAATGAAACATCACTTACTATATAAAAGAATGTTCACAATTTGTCGCCCAACAAGACGTAAAAAAATTGACATTTCTTAGACGGTCAGTTGAGTCAAGAACCAAACAATAGCTATCAGTGAATTTTAAAACGGCTATAAAGATATTATAACATGGATAAATATGTTATTAAAAGTTAAATGCGCTTCTTAAAAAGTTAGTAATTCGTTTTATGGCAATTGCGTAAGGTTTTATAAAATATACCAGAGTCTGTTATAAATCTGCCTGAAAAAAGATTTAAATGTCAAATAAAACAGTTCCTTTGCAAAAAAGCTTACTATAAAAATGAAGAATTCGTTAAAAATAATAATGTTTTTATAGAAAAACTTAAAATTCATAGCGCTGACAATATTATCTGATTACACTAATAATGAGTGCGTAACGGTTTCTATGTTGATTATCGCATGCCTCTTACTTGTTATACTGTAATTATTTATAAAAAAAAAACATCTATTAAAAAGAGCAACAGACAAATTTCTTGCTCATTCTTCTTGTGATGAATCTGCATTCCGAATGAGTGGCAAAATATGACTATTCAAAAGTGTTTATAATGAGTTTATTTGAATAAAGATTATATATTTTTTTATTTATATACTATATTGCTTTAGAACAGAAAAATATTATTTAATATGAATATATATATATATACAATCATAGGTACAAAGGCGCCTTTATCGCTAAGCAATCTCTTACATATTAGTATATATACATGAAAAACTGTAGGTGGTGCAAGTAACATATTTTTCTTTCTATCTGCGATCAGCCTTTCCAGCTGTAATCAGATTTTTTTGATGTTATTGGCATTTTGAGAAGAGGCAACTCCAGTAAGGTGCCATCTCATTTACTTTATTTAGATGTTGGCAAGGCGAGACCATTTTAATCTAAATGGACAGTTATTTACACCCAGTAGTTTTGAAGCTAACTGGTTCTTATGACTGGCTAATCTGTGTTTATATCATCCACAGGCTTTCTGTATCTCTTCTTTTACAGTTGGAATTTCTAGATATGTATGTACTTCAATGTTTTTCATGAACCAAGGAGCTATGGTTTTTAATGCCTTATATATATGTTAGATTGATCTGATATAATTCCATCGCGTATGTCCACACTGGTATGATTATTATTATGATTATTTTCCATATAGTCTGGAAAACAAACTCTAATAATTATTATTATTGAACATATAACATATATTATTTCTGTTTCTATTTCTATTTCTTTCGAGTTCACCCGGACACGTTTAACC